CGTCAAATATCTGTCAAACTCCATACAAAAAACTACTACCGGTACGATAACCGGTATCTTTAAAGTTACGGTCAATGTTAGGTGGTGCAACTCAGCCTAAGAATCCCCTCTCAAAGCAAATTTTAAATAACTTGATAATTTCAAATTATAAAGTTGGTATAGCCACGCGAACGAAACCGCTGTCTAAAACTAGTATGTCTACGTAGAGCTGTGGATTGAAATTAAATAAACAAAATAACTATTTTAGACTATCATAAGACATTTCAACCATCTTAAGACAACGGCCATATCAAATCACAGTTCGTTTACTACAAAAAAATAATCAATTTGTGGTATCCACGGTATATACTATCCCGTGGGATTATGTCTGACCACGCACCGTGGCCGTGGGATACGTTTGAGATTAAATTCAAAACTCAAATGAGATTTTGAAAACGTATTGAATCTAATGGTAAAAGTGGTTTAGGTTTCTTTAAATCCGTGTTTTTTATAAATGTTTAATAAAGAGTATAATAATAATATCTTGTAAAAAATATTTTGAAATAATGTATCTACAGAAAGATCTATTCTTTCTCGTTACGCTGTAACATTTTTGAAAAACCAAAAATCGTAAATAACTTAAAAATCCTCACTAGTCGGAAAAAGCTGTGCAATTCAAATTAGTAAGTAGGTACCTACAAGTAAAAACCGCAAACAAACCCGCGGACTGACCTTAGTTTGTAATTATATCGTTAATTACAATTGATGCTCAGCTGCATAATATTACAATGTAACAACCTATTAGTAAGACATTAAAAGCCTATGAATTTTTATAAGTCCCTACTCCCTACGATATACAGGGTGTTACATGAAATAATACTTATTTTAATTTCTCTATCACCCTTTCAGTTCATAGTTATTAATATGTACCTTAATCTATGAAAATTATTTGTTTCTTTTTATCGTGTTACCTAATAGAGTCCGTTTAAAAACCCTCAAAGACAATTGTCTATTAACACGATAATATTTAAGTCATGCTCTATAACACTGTTTCCTTAATTTTATAGCTACCTGTCTCTATTGCACATGCTAGCATACCTATCGTTTTGTGTAAAAAAGATGGATGGATTCGAAAATATGAAAAATTTAATCAATTATTACAAATATAGCTCGAAAAACTTAACGGATTGCGCTAAAATTAAATTAATCCACTAACTAGATGAAACGGGGGTCCAAAGTTTAACTCTAGCGAAGTTGCGAGCAAAAGCTAGGTTAAAATATAAACATAAATAGCAGACACCCTGTATTCACAGACCGTGAGAAAATCTCAAGAACAAGCGTGTTAGAGCGTGCCTGTTGGACTGTAAAAGTCACTCAACTAAGACAGAGAGGATGTTGTGTTTATGAATGAGCCCAAACACGCCGCCATGTGTTTTTGGTAACTGTTCATATTCTTATATGTATGTTATTATGAATTTTTGTATATATGTATTGGTAAAAGTAATTATCTTTATTTTTACTTTATTGTAAAAAAAAACGTCCTGAGGTGTTTTCTAAATTCTAGTTCATTAATTTTTAATAACTTGTAGTCTAAATAAATAAATATACTTTCTGCTTTTCTGAGCTCTGTGATTGGTTCATGTGTCACCCTGTGCGTCCACGCGCACTGTGAGACCTCACAGTAATGTTTGTGAATACCGGCGTTAGATATACGGTGTATAGTTCAGTGTTAGATCTATCACCCTGTATGGTAGTACTTAACTTAAAATCTTGTGTACAATTTATTTTCATCGCTCTTTTTTTGGGATTCCTTCAACACTAGCAGTATTCAAATCCGTCTCTCACTTGGCTACTTTTTATACAAAAAAATATTTTCTAATAGAAAGTCTGAAATTCAGACGTATACTATAAATTACATCTTGCAGTAAAGAGTTAGCTTGGATGGTATCCAGAAGCAAGTTTTGGCTTTAAATTTACGGCTTTTTCATATATTTTATTACAGATCTTTGGAATTTAACTTGGAAAGGATGTAATCCGCTGCTTTGGTATTTTCAATATAGAAATGGTATATTTGTTAAAAATTATGTTGGTGACTACTAAGAGCTCGTTTCCACGGAGATATCCCGTTTTTTGCTGGATCCCATTTAGTTATACCGCCCGAATAGCACCTGCACGAATAGCACCTTGCCTATTCCGGCCATATAGTCGGCCGTTTGGTGTAGTGGTTCAGAACGGACTACTATGCCGAGAGGTCCCGGGTTCGATTCCCGGCCGGGCAGAAATTGAAATGATAAATTTTAATTTCTGTGACGGGTCTGGGTGTGACTATGTATAATATTTATGTATTTAAAAAAAAAAGTATATAAGTAGTATATCCGTTAAGCTAGCACCCATAACACAAGCATTAAGTTGCTTACTTTGGGGCTAGCTGGCGCTGTGTAAAATTGTCCAAAGATTTATTTATTTATTTATTTATTATTATTTATTCCTCTTAGAGCACCTATCGATATTTTAGTACTTAAAGTGGAATGCGTCAAAAATCCGGCAAAAAATAAATAAATTTAAGCTTATACTAACTCTACTACTATTTAGCTACTACTAACTCTAACGAGCGTATAACTTGAGGCCGCATTGAAGAGTTGCGTAACTCTGAAACGTACATTTTCCGCGCTTCACTTTTTAAAATTCCAAAATGGCGGCTAGAATTCGCGCCAGAAATTATTCATCTCAAACATCTGAGAGTTTCCAACTAGCCGCTACGTAGTTCGGGTGTAGGCTGAAGAAATCAGATAACTCATTTTTCTCATTACAAATTGCATATTTTTTGGTAGGCTGTACAGTGAAATTAAGTAGAAAAAAACAGACTATAAAATTTCTTGCCACAGAAATGCCAATGCCAGCCACTGATTTTAATACGACGTCATGATAACTTCTTCGTCATCAGACTAGTGTGCCTGTGGCTTCGCACGCGTTAATTTATGATATCGATGTAGGTAAATTATACTGGATAGTTTCATCAAAATCTTTTCAGTGGTTTTTGCGTGAATGAGTTACAAACTTCTACATATTTTATAATATTATTAGTAGGATTATAATATTATTAAAGTGCGTTTCTAATAATGTTAAATGAATGGTGTGGCTGTTCTCCTTTGCTTATTTCGGAACGTAGTTCGGCTTCTACAATATTTATAGAACGAGAATCCGGGGTTGAGCGGTTTTTTGCGAAGTTACGAAGAAGTTTTTAAATACCTACGGTTTTGGGCATTAAACCGTTTCTTTTTGTTTCATCGACAAACTTTGGGGTACGGGGTTTTAGTTGTGAGCAACACACTGTCAAGTATTTTGTTGCCATTTATAAAAATAGAGCAATATTGTTTTAATTTTTTTCCCTTTAAAAAATCATTTTTTTTATTTATATAATTCGTTTGCTAATTAACTTCTATAGCTTTATGTAGGTACTTTATATTATAAAGTTTGTTTGTTTGTTTACTTGATAGCACTAATCGCAGGACAACTGGTCCAATTTGAAAAAATATTTTTGTGTTTGATAGCCCATTTATCGAGGAAGGCTTAAGGCTATATAGCATCACCCACAGCAGTAAAGAAAAATATTGGAAAAACGGGAAATATTAGGTATTTAAACTATTTTCACGCATACGAAATCGCGGGCTGTCTACTCACGGACATTGCCCGCGGGCGGCGTGACCGGAGGGAGCGGCGAGCGTTCGGCGAACGAACGAGCAATGTTCGGTTCGTGAGCGAACATCTAAGAAGACGATCCTGACGCACTCTCTTCAACGACTTTGCACTAAACGGTCTCAATATCATTGTTAATTTATACCGAATAGACAATTAATTGTATACAGTCCACTCTTTCATTTAATTAACTTCCACTACACTCACTATCGGGCACAGCCTTAATACCATATACCTATGCCCTACAAACTTTACCTAGCAACAAGAAGAATACTCGTGTCAAAATAATCAAAACAACTCAAATTTCCTCAAAAATGTAACGCCAAAAAAGATGTTCGAAAATTATTAAAATACGTTTATGGAATGCGAATTCTCGAGACGTTCCAAATTCAAAACTAAAACGTAATTATGAATTCAAAAGCGCGAGGCGAAAAGTGGGGATAAGTCAAACTCTCCCCAGAGATTGTTTTCCAGTTTTGAATTTCTTGGGTTAGGGTGTTTTGACTGACGGCCTGAGTTATAGGCAAGTCATGCGTTCAATAATAAATTCATTTTTCTTCGTGAAGGTTTTTACGCCTAACATATTGAAATTATCCCTCAGCGAATATATTTCATAGATTTCACTTCGGTTTTATTCCTTTGAAAATCTATACTTCTAGTTCTATACTATAATATTATAAATGCGAAGGTAACTCTGTCTGTCTGTCCTGCTTTCACGCCTAAACCACTGAACCGATTTTGATGAAATTTGGCATAGAGATATTTTGAGTCCCGGAAAAAGACATAGGATAGTTTTTATCCCGGTTTTTGAAACAGGGACGCGCGCGCAAAGTTTTTCTGTGACAGATAAAATTCCACGCGGGCGAACCCGCGGGTGGAAAGCTAGTATAAGATAAATCAAATCATTTATTACCTAATTGATAAACATAATTATGTAGATAAATAACTGAGCAAAATATCCTAAAAGGGTGGATTCAACCAAACAAGAGTAAATATTAAACTCAGAATAAATCGTCAGTTATTCGACATTTTGACATATTTCCCATACTGAAACTGTCAATGTGCCAGTTATACCAGGAGTTATTCTCGGATAAAAGTTTGGCTGAAGAGCCGGAAGACGTAGCGTAGGCAGGCCTCCCACTAGGTGGACCAACAATCTGGTGAAGGTCGCGGGAGGCGCCTGGATGCGAGCGGCGCAGGACCGATCTTTGTGGAAATCCTTGGGGGAGGCCTTTGTCCAGCAGTGGACGTCTTTCGGCTGAAACGAACGAACTAAGATGCCGCAGTGCAAAATATCCTAAGTAATTTTTTCCGTTTTGTTACAGAACCAGCGGGCGTATGTCAGAGAATGTTTTGTCCTTCAAGGCCGATGCATCCGACAACAAGGCCAGATACACGTGCGAAGCGAAGAATATCATGATCAGCAACACCTTGAAGGCTGAGATCGACCTCACCGTGCTCTGTAAGTAGAACCTGATAAGTCATTTTTTCACTTTTTTCGAGATGACTGCTAGCGATTCAGTTGTCATTTCCTTCCTTTTGTCTCACAGAAATCAAAATCTGTTCTGCAGTTTTTTCATGAAAAAGTAAGAAACATCCTCACCAGATTTTACATTTTTACCATATCAGTAGGATTACAAATCGCACGAAAAGTGAATTTATTATTTGTTACGTTGAAGTTATTTGTTATTGTCAAAATACACTTACTTTTTGTTTTAAATCCGAAAGTACTTTCACGCCCGTATTCACAAACGATGCTTGCTTAAGTGAAGCAGCAAATCGAACCCACAGCGTTGAATAGAGCTCTGTGGTTGGTTCGTGTGTCACACTGTGCGTCCACGCGCATTGTGAGACCTCGTAGTAATTTTTGTGAATACGGGCGCCAGTCTGTTGGTATTTTTGCTAAATCTTAATAAAGGCCCAAAAGACAAGGGGACATGTAAAGTGCCCCATAAGGACTACCTTTTCTTTTTTATACACACTATATTTTGACGTTCATAAGTGCCACTTGTGGTCTAAACTGAGTAAATATTTTTGATTTTGATTTGATTTTTGATAACTTCAGAAGTTATAGATATTAGAATTCTAAGCCCCGAATAGGTGTCGCTACTAGCAACTAACGTCGGTGTGGAATTTCCCTTAGGACTAACATTTTAAAGCATTTATACGAAACCAATGCAGTTGAAATTGGCTTTAGGTTTACCTTAGCTCTCTTATATTGGTCTCGGAATAGTCTTAAGATAGTCTATAAATGAATAAATAAACTACATAAACTACAGGCAGTGTAGAGCTTGTATTTTTTAAAATCGAGAAACTGATTCTCTTATAAGAAACTAGCTTAGATACCGCTCGCGGCTTCGCCCGTTTGGAATTTTGTCTGTCACAGAAAAACTTTATCGCGCGCGTCCCTGTTTCAAAAACCGGGATAAAAACTATCCTATGTCCTTTCCCGGGACTCAAACTATCTCTATGCCCAATTTCATCAAAAACGATTCAGTGTTTTAGGCGTGAAAGCAAGATAGACAGAGTTACTTTCGCATTTATAATATTAGTATAGATCAGTACACAAATCTGATTAAGATTTTTTGTATGTTTGTCACAAATTAACTCAAAAACTACTGAGTGAATAATAATTTCATTTACATATTCTAAAAACTTAAAATATGCAGTATATTATATTTCAATTAGTCATTTAGGTTCTCAGATACAGCTTGATCTCTCTAGTACTAGTTTCACATGTAATGCAAATAAAGGATTTGATTTGAAAATAGAGGTCTTAGTATAATGGACGACTTACTCGGAAAGCTAATAAATTAGACCTAGTTAAAAGTTTTATAATAATGTGAAGAAGCTTCTTATTACATTTATAAATAAATAAGCAAAGATAATAAAATATGTTCCCTGAATCTGTCAAGTTATCTTCAAAATGGATTCTAGAAATTAATCTAATTTACTTCAAACCTTCTAATCGAGATTCCAAGAAATAAGTGAACATACTTCCGAAAATTGTGTATGAAATAAATAGTATATTAAATTCTTTGTAGGTAATGAAATATAAATTCATTTAGTCAGGCAGATTAAAAATGGACACGTATTTTTTTGTCATAATCAAAAAAATAATTACATTACGTTGTGTACGTGATTTCACAAATCTACAAAGGCGTGACGTCACGCCACATTTCAACAATTTCAACTCGTTTTATATAAAAAAATATGTAGGTCTTCTTCTTTTTGTGTCGACAACAAACCTACACAGTGTCAGTCCAAAACTACGCCACAAGAGTGGCGTTGTCAGCAGCACTCATCAAATCCTCCTGAGTACAGTTCCTTGGGCACTCAGGGCACGACATCAGGTGCTTCATCGACTGGGGAACAAAACCGCACCTGCACTCCATGTTTAAGCCATCCAAGACCTGACCAGATTGTCCTACCTGCGTCCGAAGTCTATACATATAAAGACTTCCAGGTACCTAAGCAATAGGTAGGTGTCCAATATTTTTTATGATCTGTCTGACTAACTAAATGTTTAAATTTTGTCATCTAACCAACAGGTTAGTATCAGTATCCATAAGTAACGTTGAGATAACAAAAAATATCGCCTTACACAAATAAATTCAGTCTTACTTCAGCCATGTTTACTAAATAAGGATTTTGTGTGTGTATAATTCCGTCCAAATAATGAGTCCCTTCCAAATCCTTTGATAAAGTAACCCTATCGAGTCGTAGTCAAAAAGCACGGTAATTTGAAATGGTTGTGGCGCAAGTTGTGAGCGGTTGAGGTGGAGAATAGCGTATGTCGGAAAATAAGGAAAATTTAACTGAGCGTTCGGAAAAAACGGGAAAATTCAACTGAGCTTTTGACACCTCAATTTTCGACCTCAGAAGTCGTTGCTTATGGTACGAGAATATCAATTTTTATCAGTAATCTTTCAATGATAGACTCAGTTTTATCGACTAGAGACACATGTTTGTTTTTAATTCCTATGTTGTTCTTTCATTGCAGTTTTTTTAATGAGTTGTGGGAAATATCACAAACATTTTTTCTTTCTTTCTTTCAAATCGTCAATGTAATAGCACACATTTTCTAATCAAATCAAATGATTTATTTATGCAAGTAGGCTTCCAAAAAGTACATTTACATTTTGAAAAAATAAATAAATTTTGTTATTTCTTTCTGACTTTAATACAATACCCATCATAATGAATTTATTGTGGAAGTCAAAGCGTGTTTTAGGTGGGCACTACTTAACTACTTACCTAGAGTTGACCTCTCAAAATTTTCAGTGCAAAATGGAATTTTTACAGGATCTTTAGAAAAAGGGTACTCGCCCGTTTTCACCATCAATCCCTAATTTTTAAAGGACCTCTATGAAAACAAAATTCCTGTTATGTGTTACCATAGAGGTCACTTAAAAATTAGGGATTGATTGTGAAAAGGGGCATTAAATGCACAAAATTTCTTACAATTTAAACCATCGCCCAAACAACTGTCCCCTAGTCCCAGCTCATTGTTTATTTACAAAGAGCAGGTAACCGGGTCCCGCGAGCATGCGCCAGTGGACCGTGGCGGAATCTCCCTTTTTGTACTTAGCCAGTTTGTCTACGCGGCCCTCAACCGCTTTGAGTTGGCCCTTGTGAGGAGTCTCAAAACACTATTTATAAAAGGAATTCGTATTTTATGTTGCCTAAAAGAAACGTTCTGTACTTAGGCAGTTTTAAGGCTTGGCCCTCTGGGCTTCAGAATTACGATAGTAAAGAATAAGTTGTTTGCAAGTTCAAGTAAAAGAAGTTCATCTCATCATCAAAGATGAACTTCTTTTAAGCACTTGCAAATGTCTGTCTCGAAACGTTGGTAGGGCAATAAAATAAAAGGCTTCTTAAGAGCACTATTAGGTGCTAATTTAATTAGTCCAGATAAAATTGTAGTTTTCAATTTGGCAGCAAGAAAATCTAAAATGTTTAACCTAATTAATTAATTATATTTGATTTCTTTTGCGCAATTTCTTTAATAGCTTTTCAAATAATAATATAAAATAACAATTCATAAAAAAAAATCTTAAGCTTTCATAAGCTTAAGCATTCCGTGCTTTCAATACTTTTAAAGAACCCCAAAATGCACCACAATAAACATGCCAAGTCTTTTCAAGAAAATAATAATATAAGGGTTCCGTACCTTTCAATACATTTGTTCCCAAAATACAAAAACATTCAAAAACAAAATCAAACCCCCTAACCCGAAAAGTGAAGAAAATTCGCAAAATCCATATCCAAAGCCTTTCGTACCCATTAGCCTGTTCAAAGCGATCCTTCCGCATCGGTTAACCAGTTCGATGCCTGTCTCGGGCAGAGGATGTGTTCAAAGGCTAACATTGCAGTTTGGGAAGATTTACTAGTTTAGATTGAACATAATTTTCTAGGGATGTTATGGATATGTAGTTTCGGTTATGGATTCGGTTACGGAATTTTTTTTATTTCGGATATCCCAAAGTTTTGGTTACGGTTACGGATATCTGTGCTTTAGAATGCAATTTGCGATAGTTGTCCAACACGTTTCATTCATGGCCGCACACTTTACATCGAACAAAAAGTAATAAAAAAAATAAAAATTGATACTAGATAACATTATAGTAAAGGTAAATCAGGCTGTTATTTACTTTACATTTATAATGCTATACAAAAAACAATTTAAACTGGCTACATCCGAAACTATCCGAAACTTTTGAATCGGTTACGGTTTCAGATATTTTTTTATTTCGGATACCTATCCAAAAGTTTAGGTTACGATTACGGATACGGATATCCATAACATCCCTGATTTTCGGTTTGTCTGATCAAACATACCTATTTTTACGAAAGATATTGCTAGCTTAGATAGATTATTTGGTACAACACTTGTCGTTTCAGCCTGTCTGATCAAAAACTCGGTCTGAAAGACTGTCAATACTTGTAAGGATTAGTTACTATTGCATGTAAAAACTACTTATATGGATTTCGATGAAAGCTTATATTAAAATTTGGAACAAACTATTCGAACCTTAAAAATAAACAACGTGAAAAAATCGAACTGCCTAAAGCGGGAATCGAACCCACGACCTTTCGCTTGCCGGGCGACTTCTCTTCCTAATTGTTAAGAAAATTTTAATACTCAAACCAAGTCGCGGTCAAAAACTAGTGATATTAGAACTTGGACAAAATCAAAAATAAAAATTTTCAAAACTAGTCTACCTTAAAAAATCTAATTCTTCATTAGATTTAGAAGGTTCTTTTAAACTTATACTCGTATACGTCTGCTATTATCTTTTAATTGAACTCCCGAAATCTAATCAACTTCATCAAAATCCGTTCAACAGTAGCAACATAACAAAATAGGAACAAACGTACAGGCCATTTTTCCTATAAATAAATATAAGTAAACATTTTTTCACCGTGAGTCGTAAAACCTCAAAGACAATGCATCTCTTTCCAATATCATACTTTAGACAGAGAGACAAGAAACCCATTCAGTTTGCAACCAAACAAAATATCCTTTCCAATACGTATATTTGAACAAACCAATACCAATACCATATGCAAACAGCATCCGTAACAGAATGAACATATCCGATTGTGTTTACCTAAACACACAAAAGTGTGTTTCATCTTAAAACAATATTAAGTTTTGAGGGTAGTCAACCTTCAGACAACCTTTCTAACTAAATTACAGCCAGCTCTAAATATTTGCTCGATAAGGCGCTCCACACACGGTCGACTGGGCAGCGATTTAATCTTACCCCTTACTGAGAAATACATTCAAGTATGTTATGCTTTCTTTAGCAATTAGACTACACAAATATAAACGAAAGATTAGTTAAAACACCAGTAATTGCTTAAAAGGTATATTATACCCCTCGATAAATACAGAGAACATCCGAATTCGCTTCAGTGAATAAGGATCAGTACTTTGAAGTAATGTAATTAGTTAATTAATTTGTTTTGGACTCCAAGGACAGATCATTCTTGGCCTTTTCTTTGCGTAATTGGTTTGTGGATTGTGAACTCATTCATTTTATGTTTAACTAGCGGCCGCCCGCGACTTCGTACGCGTGGATCCCTTTTACCCCCTTAGGGGTGGAGTTTCGTAAAATCCTTTCTTATCGGATGCCTACGTCATAACATCTACCTGCATGCCAAATTTCAGCCCGGTCCGTCCAGTGGTTTGGGCTGAGCGTTGATAGATCACTATGTCAGTCAGTCAGTCAGTCAGTCACTTTTGAGTTATATTTAGATTATCATTTTATTGTCAAAATCCGTCATAGTCATCATCATCTTAAAAGACATTTTGTGAAAACGAAAGGCTAAGGGCCTCTTTCACGATCTTCGAGTAAAATTCAAAATAGTTACTTTCTGATTAACACAAACATCAAAGTCTCCCGTCCGTATTCACAAACGATGCTTGCTTAAGTGAAGCAGCAAATCGAACGCACGGTGAATAGAGCTTTGTGTTTTTTTTTTTAAAGATTATTAGTAATTTGTTATTACACAAATTACTAATACTCCCGTTAGCCCCTCGTACTAAGCTAAATATGCTTGTGTCACGAGTGAGCTCACCACAATAGTCGAGCGGCGGCGGGGACCGAACCCGCGTTCCCGGGATCACGAGTCGGCCAGTCCGACCCCTTCACAGTTCGGCTATCGTGTATAATCGTGGCTTTGGATTGGTTCGCGTGTCACCCTGTGCGTCCACGCGCACTGTGAGACCTCATAGTAATGTTTGTGAATACGGGCGTTAGTCTAGCAAAACACATATTATGCGATTTGTCGCGCAGATGTAACCAGACTTGTATTACATAGAATAAGTTTATTCATCTATCAGTAAGTGGATTTCACTTGAAGAGTATAAGATACTCCTCTAATGTCATTCAAGCTCAATATCAGTGAGTAATGTAAAAGTTTTAGTACGTTAACTAGCAGCCGCCCGCGACTTCGTACGCGTGGATCCCGTTTTACCTCCATAGGGGTAGAGTTTCGTAAAATTCTTTCTTAGCGGATGCCTACGTCATAACATCTACATGCATGCCAAATTTCAGCCCGATCCATCCAGTGGTTTGGGCTGTGCGTTGATAGATCACTATGTCAGTCAGTCAGTCAGTTGAGTTATATTTAGATACAGGCATGAGTGAAAAAAACTTATTAGAGTGGAAATGATTGTGGAAAAAACCTCTGGGGAGGCCTTTGTCCAGCAGTGGACGTCTTTCAGCTGGAACGAACGAACGAACAGCCAAATAATCAAAACGGGATATTTCCGTTCTTGCAAAACGTCTAATTTTAAAGACCTCATTGATCTGATAATGCGATTTGTCGCTCGTTTGCGAGCAGCCCAGCGCTACAGAATCTGTTTGTTCATCTGTCCTCCAGATTGGATTACAGTCCGTCTGGGACTGATTAGCCAGGACACTGATATGTAATTGTAAATGCATTACGTCGTGATTATTGTTGGATTACATGTGGTTGGTGCAATCATGGTGTCTTCGACATGGAATGTATCGAAGTCCTATAACTTCAGTACGGCTACCACGAAAAACTTTCGAGTTCGAATCGTTTGCGTATTCGAGTCGCCATCAAAAGATTTAGAATCGCGCACGCAGGCTGATAGCGTAGTTTGGTCGAACCATAAGGCTTTCTTACGAAGTCATCCCGTTTTTTGCAGGTCATGTCATACTCTGGTGTCCTGTAATGTTGTTGGTATACCTAAATAAATAAAATAAAATATGTAAATAAAAAATATCTGACAACAGAGTTGTGACGTCACTTCAACCCACACAATAAATAATAGTAAAAAGACACCCCAATTATCCAAGGGTTAGGTATAATAACGTATAAAGAATATCCTTATCAAGTTTAAATTATAGCAATCATCGGTACGAAGTAAATAAGTATTAAGTCGAATTACCCAAAATTGACAATAATGACGCAATGTATCGTTATACGCAGAGTAAAAGGAAAAGGCACAAAAACTACCTTTCCTTATTCCAGTCAATAATAATATAAACAGATTTAATTTCTTCATTTTTTTATAAGTACACCATTTTCTTCATTTTTTTTCCATCATACACAAGAATACGCGTGCGTGAGTCAATGCTCGCTCGTATGTGAGGCCTTGTCGAATAGTAATCCTGTAGGGGGCCATCGTGCTTGTTTTGTTTTCGATGTAAACTCGCGGAGATGAACAGGCCTGGTTCTACTCAAAATGTAGACAATTTGGATTGCTTCTATACTTTTGCCTTTAACTTCTTGCTACATCTAATGCGAGTTCGCCTCTAGAATGATAATGGAGATATTTCTAAAGATTTAACGTTATATCAAATAACGAAAGACTTGCTCGAACCATTTTGATATCTCAAAATTGTCTATTATTTGGACATGGATTTTGATGTTATTGAACATGTCCAATACAGTATTATTAATAAATGTTCAGTCAGGCGCAATGGGGCTGTCATACAATTTCCAGTGCATCAATTTTTTGTTTGATAGTGCTATTGAAATCTTAAAGAGGATTTTTATTTTGTTAGTAGCATTTAATGCTCTCAAAGAGATTCTCAAAAAGTTTCTGGCATTGACAAGGGATATTATTGATATTAAATTAATTTATATAGATCTTAATAATGTCTTGTAGAAGAATTTTGTTATCGATATTTTATAATTTGATGTAGGTGGGTAATTCCTAGAATGCGCGTCACGTTAAACTTTTATCGAGGTATTTAATCGATTTTACACGATAAGCCCATACATTTATCGTCTAAAATCGTCGATAAGATTTTATCATGACCATGCATCCTAGCCTGGCTGGCCTGGTTTTTTCACATGACGCACAGATTCGATCTCGGTGGGGACAAAATTAATGTTTTTGTTGTACGTTTATAAAGGATAAATTATCATTGCTAAAGGACTTAATTTATCCAACAGTGGAAGCCTTTCGTTTTAAATTCAGAAAACGGTATTCCTAATGGATCATCATCATCATCAACAGCCCTTTACAGTCCACTGCTGGACTATGAGCCTCCTCCACTATAGTGGAGGGTTTTGCCATAATCTCCACGCTAGGCAGGCGGGTTGGAGATCGCAGTTTAAAAGATTGATGTTTTTCAGAGAGCGCTGCTGCCCATTCTCTGTTTGATGTGTAGTCCCTAAGTCGCCTCTTACGACACCCGCGGGAAGAGTAGGGGTTGGTGACAAATGTATTCTACTCTGCCGTCACCACACGGCTTTTCTATTCCTAATGGATACGTAGGCATAATAAGTATTTATTATATGTAGTAATCTTTACAGTATTATTGTTTATAACCCAGAATAACATATAGGCTTATAGGCTATAATTTATGGCGATCTGTGACAAACTGAATTTCACGCGGGTGAAGCCACGGGTAAAAGCTAGTAGATATAATAGGCATAATAAGTTTATTAAAGTACTAACTTCAGATATTAAACTAAAGCTTTTAGTATCATGAATTATTGCTGAAACACTGTCCGGTTTCGGGTAAATACTTAAAGCAACTCCAGTTGTTAAGCAAACTATTCGAATACTTGTCTGAACTTCAGTTTCAAGTTCCACACAAAAGCTTAACTAAGCTTTTTAACGCTCTAATGATTGGAATTGAGAAGCCTTTAAAATAAAAAAGCTATACTTCAACAAACTTGATGAGCTTTGTTTAGAAGTTTCTAAAGTCAATTATGCTTTTTTGTAGTTGAAATTTTAGCTTCTAACTTGCCATATTTTTTTAATATTATTATTAATGAGTAAAGTATGGTGACTTTTAAAGATTTTCTCTAATTAATAATATTCTTTGACTGATTTTAAAACAGACAAAATTAGAAACTACTTGATTAATAATATTAATGGGCAAAACTTCATTCGTTAATTCATTCGTTTCAACCAAATGACGTCCACTGCTGGACAAAGGCCTCCCCCAAGTATTTCCACAAAGACCAGTCCTGCGCCGCCGGCACCTCCCGCGACCTTCACCAGATCGTCGATCCATCTAGTGGTGGGCTTGCCCACATTATAAGATCAGCTAATACAATAGTCAGTAATATTCTAATATACAATTTTCTTTTCCACAGTTGCTCCATCTCACGTCACCATATCTGGACCCTCTGAAGCAAGAGTAGGAGACCCGGTCCCTCTCAGCTGTAGCACCGCTCCCTCCAACCCAGCAGCTGACATCAAATGGCTGGTGCTCGGGAAACACCACAAGGAAGCCAGCAACAGAACCGTCATATCGCCCGAAGGTAAGCCAATGTTCACTCGTCGCCACTTTGAGTTTTGTGCACGTCCGTTCTGGCCGACTGCTGAGGAGCAACTGAAGCGATATCCCCACCACTTTTGGATACCTCATTTGCGTATTCCGAAAATATTTAAGAACATTAAAAAGCTACTTTTTTAATCTATAATTTTACTGGTGGATTATATTACAATAATATATTACCATAATTATGTCGAATGTAACTTTTACTCACAATGGTTTTATACACTCGCGAGCAAAAGTATGGAATCACTAACATGAAGTTGTTTTCACGTAATCTTATGCACAAACGAATTTGTTAGTTACAAAAAAAAGTAGCATCATTTTAAAGATTAAACTTTTAACTTTAAATTGATATCAAATTCATTTAAATCACACCATCGGTGACCTGCCGTCAGTTTCGAGCCTGTGACAGGCCTTTTTGGAGTCAAATTCTATTGCTTATATCTTAGACGAACTGTCCACTCGGTAACAGCTATCCTACGAACATTTCTGAGCTCTTGCTGCACGTCGATACCAGTCAAATGACGATTTCATAGAGAGGTCGACGTGAAAAAACGATCATCCCTCTGCGATGTGCACCGGCGCTGTTCAGAACTTGGTCTCGGGATAAAGCCACCAGTCTCCCGAAAGCGTCTTAAAACTTTCGAAACCCAGGACTGGCTTATGAGGAGCTGACGTGCGACAGCCCGCTGGCTGAGCCCTTCTTGCAATAGTGCAAAGATTTTTGCTGCTTCTGAAGGTGTAGAATCCCAATTAAAGTGTCAAAAGAAGCGGAGATGTGTATGGATCAACGTGTGAAAGCAAAAATCCGAAAACACGTGCTTTTATAGGGGGTAAAGGCCGCAACTCGCGACGTATCAAACAGTTGATACATGTCTTTTTCCTTACTTCTTCACATCAGCCGCGATATCTTTTTAAATACTGGTGTGATTTAAATGAATTTGATATCAATTTAAAGTCAAAAGTTTAATCTTTAAAATGGTGGCACTTTTTTGTTACTAACAAATTCGTTAGTACACAACATCGCGTGGAAACAACTTCATGTAAGTGATTCCATACTTTTGCTCGCGAGTGTAGTTACTTTTAATGTTGTCCTGCTCTTTATAAGCATTTAGATACGTGAGTACGACGTTTTGCCTCCCTAACCAATACGCCTATGTTCCCCATATTACCAGAATGATCATACCAAGTGAAGTTAGATCTGAATTAACCAAATGATAACCTTCCCCAGGTGGCTGGATCACGACCTCCAACATAACGGTGGTGGTGGAACCGAACCGGCGCTCCATCGTGGTAGTCTGCCATGGGATCAACGCACAGCTTACGGAGAATGTCGTGGCAACGCACACAATCAACGTGCTATGTGAGTACTTAACGTATATTCTTCTTCTGTGCCTTTTCTCATGTCTTTGTGAGTCGGTATTACCCGTTCATGAATACTGAACGTATATTAAAATAGAAAGACACGGGTCTTAACGCGACGTTTATTAATGAGTTACATTATGTACTCACGGCTTGACGTGGTCACAAGCAGACTAACGACTATATTCTTCTTCTTCCGTGCGTTTTCTTCTCTTGAGTTAGATAACAGCTCGCCCTGTGAAAAACTGATCCACGGGCGAGTTGTCCACATGTGTATCTTAGACCGGGTCTCCAGCGCTTGTTTTACCCTACACAATCAACAAAATCATTTTTTGTAAGCAATTTTGTTGAATGTTGATTTGTTTTTGTTGATTGTAGGCCAAAACACATGCTGGAGACCCGGCTTTAAGTCTACATTGGTTTCAGACTTCGTTTGCCAAGACTGAACTAAAATATTATATTCCCTTTTGGAAAAATAAACTGTTAACGATCACAAAAGTCACATACCAAAATACACGTAACCATGGACAGAAAGTTGGTTAATCCTAAAACAGTATCCAAAGTTTCAGCCCGTGTCAGCTTTAATCAACATTAAACTCTAATTACTGCGTAATATCATCAACAACAACAAGCCTGAACTAAACGCTAAACATCGCAGAATGATTGGGACCATAAGGCACTATCGTGCGCACTATTACTCCCCTCTTCCCCCCATTCCCACCTCGTCAAAGTTAAAATCAAGTCAAGTCTGGGCATCTACGATGATCTTGGCAGACGTGACAGGAAAGGAAAGTGCTGCTAAGGTAGGGTGGCCATGGGTTATATGTAACGTGGGACTGGACAGGACTTTTTTTTATCCGCAACAGGGAAGCTCTTGGCCTGCATGGAAAATGATGATCAGGCCGAAGGTGGAAGCGATCTTTATGGGGAATATGGCGATATTGTTGAAAATATCCGTTTTAAAATTCAAATTCTTTTGTGGTGTGTGGGTTCTTTTCAGACATCATTTATGTGCTGAGAAGAAGTGGTAAGACTGTCACCTTTGTCAGCCTCTTGATATTTAATTCAGTAGTTAGTGCTATATTTTTTTAGTGATAATTTACTCTTGATATTTACTTAAGTAGTAAGTGCTGTATTTGTTTCTTAGTGATAATTTAAAGTGGGTACTTTTCAGACCACTGTGTTTCACCAATTAAACACTATTTACCTATCTAATTACATTCTCAATAACCCACTAATCCTCAGGTTTTAATATTATTATTATTATTTAGATAAAAAAAAACTGGCCATCATTTTCTTGACCCATCTTTCATTTTCGTCTACCCCAATGATTCTTATCTCGTTCACTCACTCATTCACTCACGTCCTGTATCCTTACAGTCATCACGGGCACCCTACATCCCCTATGATGTAGACATAAGACTAAATGAAGTCAGTATGTAATGCTTGGGGTATATATCTTGCCTAATAAGGTGGGGTAGGACGTAGGTTATATCAAGGTGTATTTTTAGAATGTTTTCATTATGCTGGTGCATTTGTAAGTAATTCCATTCGGGGTGGGAAGGTAATTTTTGGGGAAAATAAACGTGAGCAAAGTTGCTGGCTTTTTGCCGTTTTTAGTTGTATTTCTTTTTGTGAATCAAAGGCTTTTTAAAGTCTGGTGCTACGTGTTTTAGAGTAGGTGTTAGTGAGTTTTGCAACTATCAACGCACAGCCCAAACCACTGGACGGATCGGGCTGAAATTTGGCATGCAGGTAGATGTTATGACGTAGGCATCCGCCAAGAAAGGATTTTACGAAACTCCTTCCCTAACGGGGTAAAACGGCATCCACGAGTACGAAGCCGCGGGCGGCCGCTAGTAATTAATATTGTCTTACTTCTTTTTGTGTTGGTTGGATTGCCCATTTATCGAGGAAAGACTAGGCTTAGACTTATTCTTTAATAACCTCCTACAGTAGGGGCGGATAAAGAAAAATGTTGCAAAAACGGGAAATATTATTAAAACTATTTTCACGCGTTCGAAGTCGCGGGCACAGCCAGTTTGATATTAAAAAATATTTCCTAAAATGTTTCAGTTGCATTCCAACTATTTATTATCAATACAGTCGTCATGATTTGTTACTACAAGTACCTAAAGGTAATACAGCAGTGAAAGGAAAGTTATTTACGTCCATTTTACTGTTCCTACAATGGCCACCTATTCCTATAATACCCTCATATTTTTCGCATTAACACTCAAACGCAATATGAAGGTAAATAGTTGTAAATGGCCTATTGTACCACTGTGCTCGAGTATTAAGGGTCCCACGTAGAGTAGGGTTTCATTAAAAATGGGGCGGTAATTAAGGTACCAAAATACACAGAGATAAGAAGCGATAATATCCGAATGGTGTCGGTCCGAGACACGCAGGTTCGAACCCCGCTGTCACGTGACTATTATTTGTAGTAAACTCACTGGCAGGTAAGTACAACCACGAGGGGTTAACGAGTCGATTAACAATTAGTATTTACAAATTGCTAATCTTCTTTTTTCTTAAATTATGTTAAGCTAAGAAGTCCACTTTGCATCCAATATTTAATTTCATTATTTGGCAACGTGTCTCTCTAACTAAAGTTGTTAAAAGTTCTCATGATCCTGTAGGGTGTAGGGCTAAACAAAAATACCTACAGTAATGTAAACAGTGACTAAAGCGGTATTGAAGAGTAAATTCCCATTTTTACGTATATCCGATAAAGATCGCGTGATTCCAACGTTAAAATACGATGAATAGTTTATATAGCGACGTCTGTACGTGCGACCCTTAATCTCAAGCGCCGCCGGTTGGTTCGCCCTGCATTTGAAGGGTTGAAAAGTACGTGATTGGAAAACTTACGGATTTATTTTAAAAATGTACACGCGAAATGCGCTACTGCTTCTGGGACTAGTCAAATGCTTAGACAATCTTCTGAACAAATATTATAAACTAGCTGTGCACGTGACTTCGTACGTATGAAAATAGTTGGATTTTTTTCCGCTTTCGCAACATTTTTAATTGATGCTCTGCTCCTGTTGGTCGTAGCGAAAAGATATACAGACTAAAGCCTTCCTCAATAAATGGGCTATCCAACACAATTGTTTTTTTTTTCAATTCGAACTAGTACTTCTTGAGTTTAGCACGTTCAAACAAACAAACTCTTCAGCATAATAATATAATTAAATTAAAATTCAAAAGTAACTCTGCGTGTCTGTTAATTTTTTTTCACGCTTAAACCATTGAACCGATTTTTATGAAATTTGGTAGAAATAGATGGGATCTAGCGAAAAACGTAGGGTAGTTTTCACCAGTTTTTTGAAGTCTTTCTGTGACTTCGAACCAAAGCCGTAGTTAGAGAGAACCAAAGCCGTGGGCAAAAGCTATTTATAAATAACATTTAACTAATATTATTCTTAGCCATCATCATCTACTGAGTAATTAAAGAAAAACATTAATTTATTTTAATTAGCTTGAGGAAGCAATTACCTAATTTCGAAATACATTAAAAGTACGCTCTGTATAGAGCTTTTGACGCTTACATAAAGCTTTAAAATAAACACTTATGCTACCAACATCGCGAAAATTATCATATTTGCGGAAACGGAAGTCAACTGCCAACATGACGCCAGCCAGTCGGGTTGGAATATAAAAGGCTTTTATGAAAATGTTTTGTTTTGAGCACTAGTTTTAACTAAACTTCACTTGCTTTTAATAGCGAATGCTTTGTGAATTTTAACACAAATTTACGTGTATTGTGAAGTTTTTGTAATTAGTGTTTATTTAATTACTTTAAGTAGGTACTTAATATTAGATAGGTATGAGGACGGTTTAAAAGATCTACAGGGTGGAATTTTGTAATGCCACCTGGAGGGTAAGACTCTTAATATTGTAGATAGATTTTTTTTCTCAAAGAGAACATTCCTTTATTTCTGAAAAGAAATAGAACTGCATTCAAAGATTTCCAAAAAGCTTGCCACACCCGGGAATCGAAGCAACTAAAATCTGTTAAAAATTACACCCTGTATATTTGCGTTGTTATAATGTGACACTATCGGTATAATGACATTAATGTGTAATAATAATAATAATAATAATCATTTATTCGCCTTAGTAGTGGTTGGAATGACTTTTATAAACGCACTATAGTGCGACAACGCTGTTTGTGTTTGTATGTGTAATTTAGAATGTCATTAATGAAGGCAGGAATGAAAGTAATATTAATTTAATTATTCTTACTGATGTTGTCTGGTTCACCTATACTCGTAGTCTGATGAACTTTCGACTACCAGCTCCAATCTTCACCTAAAAATTGTACCTCTATCATTAATTCAATAAATTCACTTTATAAGTTAACTAGATTTCCGCCCGCGGCTTCGCTCGCGTGGAATTTTGTCTGTCACCAACAACTTTGTTTCAAAAACCGGGATAAAAACTATCCTATGTCCTTTCCCGGGACTCAAACTATCTCTATGCCAAATTTCATCAAAATCGCTTCAGTGGTTTAGGCGTGAAAGACAGACAGAGTTACTTCAGCATTTATAATATTAGTACCTATAGATATCCAAGTATTAATAAACCTCTAGGCATGACAGAAATGTAGCCATTGTTATCTTTTATCAAGCTTTCCGGTTAAAACAAAAGACGAACAGACTATGTTTAAAAAAAGATCGCTATTTATTTTACAAAGTCCGCAGCGTTTCTCCCACATGCCCAGCTCAATAACATCTGCTAATTAAAAGAAAACCATCCATTGGATTTCAAAGCTTTATTTGTTTTGAAACGCCACTGAAATGCAACTGAAACGCAACTGGATGGTGATTCTTTGTTCGCCACAACTGTCTAGCGTATAAACGACTGCAGAATTATAATATTCAGGGGACCGGAAACGCACTCGACTTGGCGCCTGCTTTAGGGTTCTGTACCGTGATAAAAGAACCTTCCCACATAAGCCTTTAACCATCTCTTCCTTCCTCTTTCAAAATCCGG